CCCGACCGTGCTACTGTCTGTATAGAGGACAAACGGATCGTCACGCGTTGGGTAGGCCAGTACTCGGCCCGATAACAAACATGTACGCAATGAATCAAATGCCGCCTCTAGTTCGCGATCCCAGTAAAACGATGATGAGTTCGCTAGACGAATCAGAGGCGCCGAAGTGTCCGAAAAAGATGGGATGAATTTCCTGAACCATGCAAAAAAGCCGTATATACGTTTCGCCTCCTTCACAGTGGTGGGAGGCTTGAGCTCCTGAATGCATTTCACTCTGTCTGGGTCAATTGACACGCCTTCGGGTGTAATCAAATGTCCCAAGTAAGAAAGCTTTTGCATGCCTATGCGACATTTGCTGGGCGCTAATTTCAGGCCCGCCTGGCTCAACCTATCTAGTACTGTATGGAGAAGCTTCAGGTGGCTATCGACATCTGCACTCGTCAGCAACACATCGTCGGCGTAAATAGATACACCGGGGATGTCCCCGAGAACACGATGCATTGCAACATGCAAGAAGTATGAGGACTGGGCACAGCCCATGGGCATTCTCTGCGGATAGTAGGTCTTTCCTAGGGCGTAAAAAGCGCAGACTTTTTGAGACTCTTTCGACAACTTTAAATTCCAAAATGCATGTTTTACATCCAGCGAGCTGGCAACTTGCCATCCATGAAGGGACTGCAGAAAATCGTCAATGCTTGGAAGCACGAATTTCTTAGGCAAAAGACTTTTGTTAATTTCGCGCATATCCTGGACAATGCGGAACTCGGAAGATTTCCCTTTGGGAACGAGAATCACTGGTGAATTCCAGTCACAGGGCTCTCCGACGGCAATCACGCCACTGGCCTGTAATGCATCCAACTGTTCTTCCAAGATTTTTTCTTTGGCCCACGGTACTGGATAAGGCTTTGAAAACCTAGGCTTTGTACCCGGCTCAAACTCCAAATCAACGTCACCCCCACCGTAACAGCCGATGTCTGTGTAACTCTGGGAGAAAACGCCGGGAAATGACTGTAACAAAGAGGCTACCTTCTCGCGATCTGCCCCTCTAACCCCGTCACCAACTTGGAACCGGGTCAGTACCTCCTCCGGCTCGAGACCCAAGAACTGACTATCGCTGGCGGACACGGCATTGGTCTCCGCGGTGTCGAACGTGTCGGTGTCGCGCGGCGGTGTGATATCTGCGCCGTCGGTAGGCTGCAAATACCCGATAACATCACGCCGGCGAAGTGTCACAAATCGGTCTGAACGATTTCTCACACGAAGTGGTATCTCACGGGCTGAGTATGGCCTAAGCAGGGCATCAGTGACCTCAATTTGACCCGTTTTCTGACCTGTCAGCACGTATTCTGAGTCTGTCGATAAATCTGTACTTATTCTAACACAAAGACATGATATTGACCTCGGTGGTATGCGCACTGGCTTCTTCAAGCGCAGCTTCACCTGACCAGACACATCTGAGCAATCTAACACAACACGATGGGCCTTCAGAAAATCAAAACCAAATATACAGTCATGTGAGAGGCCCTCAACAACAGTGAAATCAAAATGCACTTCATCGCTGCCCTCGGCAGCGGCTATCTTTACGGGCAGGCTGCATGAACCAAGGGCTCGCATCTGATGGCCTGACGCTGAAATCAGAGCCGCGGCTGGCTTCAGTTGTGCTTGAGGAGCAATCACTTGCAAAACTCGATTATCCAAAAGAGTTTTTTTGACTGCCGGAATCCAGCAAACAATCACTGACAATGAAGCCGTTGATCGAAGCCCTGGTTACTGGTAAAGAGACCAATCCTAGAACCGGTTGCGCCTGCCCGCGAACTCGTTTGGGCACTGACGCTTGAAATGACCCACTCCCCCACACGACCAGCAGCGGACAATACCTGACCGTCGTCCCTCGACACCGTCACCCCAGTCCGGCGACGGATCACGCGCCGCCCCTCCTCCGGCCGCCGACTCGGGCGACGCGCGGCGGCCGGCGCGCGGCCGCTGGGTTCCGCCCCGTCCGCGGCGCGGAGAGCTGCCGCGTTCCTCCCCTGATGACCGGGTCCAGACGCGTCCAGTGTCGGTCCAGCCCCGGCCGCCACGCGGTGAAGGGGAACGGCGTCTCGCGCCCACTGGCCCGGCGGTCCCGCAACCGGACCGGCTCTGACAGGCCCGGGCATCGCTGGGTGATCTGCTGGCCACCGGGGAGTTCCACCGGCTCCTCCGCTCAGGGGCTCCAGATCGTCGTCCTCTGTCGTTCTCGTCTTCCGGCTCCTCCCACCCGTGCCGTCCTCTGCCGTCCTCGTCTTCCGGCTCCTCCCACCCGTGCCGATCTCGTACGGGTGAACCCGGCGATGCCGAACCCGACCAGCCACCGCGGCCGGCCGCGGCCGGGGATTGGCGGCGGGGCGCGGAGTAGCGGCCGTCCCGGTCAAGGTCATCCCAGCGGACGCGGCGGCCGGACACCGCGCTGGCCACCTCTGCCGCTTCCAGGCCCTCCTCTCGTGTTAGCTCTGAGAGACACTGCTCGAATGTAGACGCTTTCTGGCGAGACAACAGACATCTCTCTTCATGTGACAGCCCGACCAGAAAGTGTCGATATAGGGCCGCGTTATAAGACGGCACACATATTTTCTTCACTTGGCCGTCCTCTCCGAACATCTCGGGACACGCCTGACGGACCAGCTGACGAACCTGAAGACCGTAGCTCTGGGATGAAAGGCTTCCTTTAGTCAGTGTCGCCAGGCCCTGTGACGCATGCTCTACAGAGCCGCTCGCACCACCGAAGTGTGCCTTGAGCTGCTCCGTCACTGTTGCTAGCGACAGCTGACCTCCAGTGTCTTCAATGCTGTTGACGACTGACAGGGCCCGTCCATGACACCTGGCCGCGATGATAGTGCCGAGCTTGGAGTCCGGCAGGCCCCCCAACTCTGCCAGTCTAGAGCACTGTTGGAGAAAGTCCTCCGGCCGGCCCGATCCGTCGTAAGTCGGGAAATCACTGACGGAGACGGACACCACAGGCTCCATCGCCACAATCCCACCGCTGCCACCATGTAACGTAGGAACGCGCCGTGCACTCCGTGCGCGCACCGGCGATACGGGACACGCGCCCCGTCCGAACACGACCGTAGCCAGTTACCGACTGTATTTTCCGTCTGACCTGACCCGCCTGCGGCGGAGCAGTGGCGCCCCCAGCCACAGCCGCATAGGCACCTCGAGGGGAGCAAACGGGGGAGGCTCACATTTCCTCCCCTCACTAGGGGTAGTGTAGTGGTAGGGGTAGGGGTAGGGGTAGTAGTAGGGGTAGGGGTAGTGGTAGGGGTAGGAGTATGGGTAGTAGTGGTAGGGGTAGATGTAGTGGTAGGGGTAGGGGTAGGGGTAGGGATAGGGGTAGGGGTAGGGGTAGGGGTAGGGGTAGTGGTAGGGGTAGTGGTAGGGGTAGTGGTAGGGGTAGGGGTAGGGGTAGGGGTAGTGGTAGGGTAGGGGTAGTGGTAGGGGTAGTGGTAGGGGTAGGGGTAGTGGTGGAGACAAAAGCAGAACAGTGGCCCGGGCTGATCCCAGCGGACGAGAGGTGACCTATGTGACCTGGCCTGACCCAAAGTGACCGGGGCTGACCCCTTTGACCCGTCTTGACCCCGTATCACCCAAATTTCATCCAACAACGCCCTCAGAACAGTTCATTTTTAAATTCTCTTCACATTTCCGTCCATATCTATGCTTCTAGACGACACATCGACATGAATCAAACACCATTCGAAAGCAAATTGGCTGGTGCCGCAATTTTTTCCTACCACGCAGCAAAGCAAGTGGCGCAGCCGCTTGTCTATACTACTATTTGAGGAAGGCGTAGTTTCTGTCTATTACGAAGGTCGCGACATGGTGCTACGTAGCGCGGGTTACAGATCACACCGTTGCACCTACCGCGCTGAAATTTGCGCAAGTTATAGAACAAGGATGGACAACGTGCCTTTGAGCGGTCTCGGCTCGATCGGATCGATAGCGAGCGCGTGGCGCGTGCCCAAAAAGTGCAAATTCGCGTCATAGACTTTACATGTATAAATCGGCTGGCAAAAACGGGCGAAAATGGCTAAATTTGCCCGACACGGGTCCGTTCCCCGTGCAATATCTCGGTAGCCGTGCGCCCGATCGGCACGGGGAAAACAGCATCGTGTAGAGAATCGAACGGGCAATCGAATAGTGTGCGGTGCAGGGGTGGCACGCGCCACGTGCAAGTGTGAGGGCAATTTCATTTCAAAAAGTGCCATTTTAAACGGATTTTGGATTTTATTTTATTTTCCCGTGACCATCAGACTGAGAGAGTTGAAACAACGTCAATTGCCAAGAGAAATGTACCGCCTCTCATGGAAAAATTGTGGACAGCTAATTGATCAAAAACAATGTGGAAAAATCGCTGAATTAAAATGGTATTTGTCCATAATGTGCCACTAAAAAGATACACGGGATTTGCTGCTTAACCTGATACGCTTGACAATTGAAAATGCTATCATTAGAAAGAGCATTCAATTCTCTCCAAGATCCAATCATCACGTTTGCATGACAAGCAACAGTATTCTTTAAAATATAAATGTTTTAAACCTCTGCAAAACGATTTTTAGCGAAAATTATCTACGCCTTTCATTTGTCTTAAAACTACGCACCTCAATTATAAAGCACATTTGACAGTTTCTGAAGTGGAAAGCATGCTTATCAGACACGGGCACCTCGATGCGGTGGATATTTTTTCCACAAACCAAAACGTTTAGCCGTCAAAAAGCAATCGACCGAAATGGATAGATAACCCAACCGACACAAGAACAACCGAACACCCGCCGATCGAAAATATCCCTTTTCGCGTTGCGGAGCACGCGGGTCACCCTAGCCGGGGGTTTTCTGATTAAATCTGTCAGCCGTGTGTGAAGCTCGCGCTTCATTTTTCGAAGTGGCTGCGTATTAGGGGGCTGTCGGGTCACCGACATTGTATTACCTTTATCAGACATCGGCGGTTTCATCTTAGCCATAACAGACATTTTGTCTAGTTCTAATCTGAAGCACATGCTGATATCCAGTTATAAAACCCAGGTAGAAGCGTCCGGATTACGCATTGTTTGTTTGAGTTCCCAGGGTACGCACGGGTGACATTGTCGGCCAATCAGTGGTGATAGAGAGAGGCAGGGAGTGACACGCATCAAGGCCAACAACAAACGCAGCACGCGCTCTGCCCTCGGCCCAAGATGAGCGGAGGGCAGGTATATAAACTGGCCCACTGCTACTGACCGGCATCATTTGCCCTGGAGGTGACCGACTAGATAACTGGATCACAGACACTCCAAAATTCGACATGAAGCTGGTGAGAAACTGGGTGAATTCGTCTGCTCTGAATGTTTGCTATTTCAAGATAGATTTATAAAGAAATGTCATGCTCAATATTTAGTCTGATGTTAATATATAAAAGGTTTGACCGGTTTTGATCCGTCACAGGTCGTCGTTCTCTGTCTGGCGACTCTGGCCCTTGCCCAGTCGGAAAAGGAAGCAAAGATCGTCAACCATCAGTACGAAATAGATGAGGACGGCACCTACAATTTGGTGTAAGTAATCCGAAGGTTTAAATTAAATGTTTGGAAGCACTATTTATTGTGATTTTCTATTGAAAAAACCAACCTAATCTCCGCATAAATTTGCATAATCATCTTTAAATCCCTAATAATTGCACCCTAATGACATCGGAGTCCTTGGTTTGCGTACTATTCTTGCGATTATCATTTCGACTGCTGCTAACTTATATATGTTTTGCCTTTTTCAGTTATCAGACTTCAAACGACATCGAGGCCACTGAAACTGGTAAATCCTACCCGGGAGACGAGCCGGAGACGGGCAACTTCGTGAGGAGCGGCAGCTACAGCTACGTTTGGGAGGGCGTCACCTACACAGTCAACTGGCAGGCCGACGAGAACGGCTACTTTGCCGAGGGAGACCACATCCCCAAGAAATAGAAAATGACGCGAGAAGTTCAGCATAGTTAATCTTCTCGTTCTGAATGCCTACGCCTTTGTCCGTTTATTTGTCTGTCTGCCTGTCTGTCTGTCTGTCTGTCTGTCTGTCTGCCTGTTTTTTATGTTCGTGATGATAAATTCGAACTGTTGATTGCATCAAGCATTAATTATTCGATGAACATGATATGTGCTTTGTCTTGTACCATTGCAATCGTTGCAAAGAGCAGAAGTTATCAAAATTATTAAAATGACGTAATTACTCCAAGTGTGTTATGCAATAATTAGCGTACATCAAACTGTTATTCGACCTTCACGTAACTATACTATGATTTGTCTCATGTGCATTTGTCTTGTCCATTGTTTATTTTTGTGTCCTGAGCTGCGTCTTGCGTGTGTCTGGATCTCTCACTGCATGTCAATGTAACGACAAAGAGCGTGTATTTTCATTTACTCGTTCTTATGTATGCTTACCTCAACGAACATGAACATGTAAGATTAAGAATCGTCCAATACAAAGAACGATTTTGTAGACTTTTATGGCTGTTGATTTCTCGATTCATTATCCCACTTTAACTTTCTCTAAGTGATCAACTTATTATGTATCGACGATGCTCTAAACTGATCGATCACACTGAGGTGTTCTGAAATCTGATCTACAAAGTAGCTAAGTTTTTATGAAAGGTAATGAGCCGAACATTATGTCATCGCCCTTATAAATTTTTGAGCGAAAGAATTTTCAAATCCCGCGTTATCTTACTGTTAATTCACTTTTCTAGATAAGGATATTCTTGTTCAAAGGCTAACAACTGAGAGCCCTACATACCTACCTTTTTTCTGTCTTCAATGACTTACGTTTTTTATTAATAAACCAAGATTGCAAGTTTAGCTTCCAGTACGATCTTTAAATGGTGGATAAAGGTACACTTAAAAAAACATGAGCGAGGCGAAAAAGCTTAAGAAACCGAAAATGTCATACAATAATAACACAAACACGGTCGATATATCTGTTGTTGCAAGAATTGTGTGTGCCATTTAAATACGTGATATTCTGAAGAAGATTCAGCTTCACCGGCAAAAGTTAATAACTATGGCTTTTGTCTTTTAAACTCTGTTTTGAAATATGGAAGCCATTTGACTTCATGCCGTCCACAAAACAGGCCTTACATTGCGCCACACCAGTCCACGGCCCTTTTTGCTTTTTATTGGCGGCTCCAGACTCCCCACGTCGGCCACGCGATTGTGACAGACCAGTGACAATGCCAGTGGTCACTCAACCCTCCTCCCACGCTTCACAGAGAGCTTTAAATGACATTCAGTGGACGGACAGCCAATTGGTATGCACTCATCGGTGCTTCGCTGTGGCTCTCGCGAAACGCGCAGACAGTCTCCAGGCACAACACAACAGTTATGTTTTTGCTCCCGATCGCCATCGCTGCAGCGCCATCCCACATCTCATGGGAAAATGTGTTGGTAATGTGTTTTGACTCTCCGAAACTACCAATAGACAATGCTTATTCCACCTGACTATAGATTAGTTAGTTAGTTAGTTTGTGAGTTTGTTAGTTAGTTTGTTTGTTTGTTTCTTTGCTTTTGTGTGTGTGTGTGTTTTTTTTTTTTGAAAACCCAGTAGGTACCCATAACTTGTTGAGCTCTATGAACTCGTCACTTCCTTTCAGTGTTTTCGATTCCAGTAAAATCGTGCTTTTCAGAACCAGAAACTGTAAAGCAGTGTTTGCATCTTTCTTGGCTCATGTATTTCTTGACACACTTAAAGCGGATGACAAAAGCCACGACACAACAGGCAGAATTGTTCTTCACTGATGACGAAAGCACACAGATGAAACGTATTCGATGACGGCATGGGCTTCCCCATTAGATACAGCAGGAACAGACACATGCGGTGGAGTGAGAGAGAATGATGTCCTTTTCCTAGTCCGAGTTTCTATTTCTTGGGGATGTGGTCTCCCTCGGCAAAGTAGCCGTTCTCGTCAGCCTGCCAGGTGACGGTGTAGGTGACGCCCTCCCACTCGTAGCTGTAGCTGCCGGTCCTCACGTAGTTGCCAGACTCGGGCTCGTTGCCAGGGTAGGAGATGCCGTTTTCGTCAGCTCGAATGCCGTTGGAAGTCTCGTATCTGTACAGGGAAGAGATAAAGTTATAATATGTAGGTATACGGTGCTTTCCTATTACTGGCTGGCTACTGCGGGTTAAATCAGTAAAGGAAAAAATAGTTTTTGATGTTGTCATCTATTATTATGCCGCTAAATTGTACTGAACATTTTTTTTCTGCAAGGCTGGAAAACTCATTCAAGGATTTCACATGTTGTGCTCATTGATTCCAGGTATGGCAGTCAACAGAAAGCCGCAAGGGCCAGTCGCTCTTTATTTGTTTTTATTTGAACGCCCACCCACTGAGCGACCACCGAGTCAAGTCCACTTACGCCGCATCGTAGGAGCCATCCTCGTTGATCTGGAAATCCTGGCTGAGAATCTGAGCCTCCTTGTCCGACTGGGCACAGGCCAGGGCCGCCAGACAGAGAACAATGACCTGAGACGGGTCAGACACAGGTCAGGGAGAAGCCAAGAGTGACCAGTGCACGAGAGTGTTTACTGCATACGGTTACCGTATACCGCTGTGCGAAAGTTCGAAAGGTGGCAGGCTCCGAGAAGATCACCATTTGGTGATAGTGCATGGCTGCGTGTCTGAATGCGTGGCGATATTTATTTTAAACACTTTGCGTTACGATTTAGCTGTGTCAGAGGTGTCGACTTACCAGCTTCATGGCGAGAGAGGAGGGAGTTGACACGAGTGCTGTCCCAACGAGAACCAGCAAGCTATGATGCTGCAGAGATACGGCGGCGGTCTTATATACCCAACTCTTGCTCATCTCATGCTGGAGGCGACTTGTCTGCTGATCCGTCGGCCTTGGTGCGTCCGGAGGATACCCTAACTCCTCCCCTCTCCCCCTGCTCTGTCCCTCTCTCCCGGGTCATGACAGAGGCCGACTGCCATGGTCCAGCGGGGGTGAGGTGTGGTCAGAACCGGCTCTCCAGTGTCGGCTGCTGAGTGCCGAGTAAAAATGGTCGCTGCTGCGGATGGTTTGGGCCAAAAAAATGACTTCTGCGTGTCTTTCTTTCCTGATTATGTCCCATCTACACATTCTACGCCAAATTTAGGCGGCATTGCACACTGTCACGCATTTTGGTAAAAGTGCAGGCGATTTCGGCAATACAGCATATGCCTTTTTACGCCCAATTTAGGCGGCAGTGCACACATTTAAGTAATAACTAGTTCAGGCAGCCTCGACAGTACGGCATGTGTTGTCTATGGTGCACTGTCGAATTCGGTTACACTTTTACTGAACTGCGGGCACTATGTCTACACTATGTATATTTGGCCGTAAAAAGGTGTAGAAAGCATGTAAAATAGTTTGCGGTCGTTATCTGTGATGAACATATGTGATGTAGCCTTTATCGTTATCGTCGCTAGTTTTATGTTGATTGTAATATCTTTTGTGATTTGTTAAAGAAATATCTCATCATCTGATCTGATCTCATCAGATGAGATCAGATCAGATGATGAGATATTTATATATCAGATGAGACTCATCTCTGATCATTTTTTTCGGGAAGTTCAAAAATATAACCAATTTATGGCTCATTCCCTATGACGCATTACGAATTCCTCAGTTCTCCACCATGACTTTCACAAGTGCACACCACGTGTCCCAAAGCAGATGCTCCCTTTAATCACCGTCACTCTCCTTAGCGCTGACGGACTGGTGACGTCATTAGCCCACTGGTCGTCCGTCTTTGCCGATAGACAGCCGACACCGGGAACATATGTGCAGCCACGGGTCGGTCAGCGAGTTCTCTCTGCACCTGACCCGGGGGTGTCACGTGCAACCCCCCCCCCTCGGACATTAACAGACGAGGTCAAAGCACAAAGTTCGATGAACTTTAAAGGGACTATCCCACCTTTAACATGGGGTTTGAGTTGAGATAGCCAAGTTTGCGGCGAGGTTCAGAAACCACTATCTATCTAGGTTGCAACCCTCGCGGCCTCTTGGTGTTGAAGAAATTCGTTCCCTTCATTTGAAAATGGGCCTTGTACAAGGTCCTATCTTCAACATGGAGCGAGCATTAGTGTGACGTCACCTCGTTTAGTCATTCTGATTTAAATGGGGTTGTTCGTTGAAAAATCGCTTAAAACTTGGTCTGAACTTTGTTGTGGTGCCTACAGAGTAAAAAGAATCAGCTTTATGATAGTAATGTGGCCTGGGGAAGGAGGTAATTTTGGGCTGTGACGTCACATATTTGAAAGTTTGTGTTTGGAATATGGGAAGCCTAAGATGTTTAATGAAAAATAAATGCCAGAACCGTGTTCCTGGTCATCCAATCTATAAAGTCGGGCACAATTTAACTGGTTTTAACAACATTTTAGAAGGTGGGATAGTCCCTTTAAGTCATGGAAGACGTGATCTGCCCTATGAAGATGCATTATTTGACATACCTATGTGTACCTATGCCTGATCAATTAAGGAAAGCACACTATCTGAATAACTAAAAGCGTCATAGTGAAAATGCCTATGTTCATACTTAACCCTTGCCAGCACAGGCCGTTTTGCGTCCTTCGACGGCACAAGGGGGGGAAGGGGTTGGTACGACCCCCCCCCCCCTCGCGTAGCCCTGATTGAGCTAGAGCTTCGCGGAAAAAAACGAGCGTATTGCCCGTGACGAGAGGAAGCCGATGATACTCGATTTTATATCATCTTAGTTTTGATCACAGGTGATGTCTTTATGCATTTAGGCCAGGTCGGGTCAGGTCCGGCCAGGTCAACCAGAAGGGGTCCTACCGGGTATTCGCAGTACGTACGTGTCAACCGCCTCTGACAGCTTCGTAACATCAAACATGTTACGAACGCACCAAAACTACTTCGTAAATGTTCAAATTAACATTTAAATTCAAATAAATTCAGCTCCAATAACTAGTCCAGCAACATGTAAAACCCGAAAAAGTGGACTGAGGTCATCATGTTGCGGGAGCTGAACACACCGGATCCGAACGTCACTCTATTTGCAGTTTAGGGAGTACAAGCGCGTACCGCTCCACACGTCCCTCCGATCCCGTCTCCCGGGCCGCCGCCCGCCCAGCCAGGGCTAGCCGCCGACCCCGCCCCAGGGCCACGCGGCAGGGGCGGCGCCGGGCGCGGCCAGCCGGGGAGGCGCCACGGGCGGCGCCAGGCGTGCCACAACGGGCGGCCACAGCCGCCCGTAACACCCCTCCCCCACATGAGCACGAGTCATCCCACGAGCACGAGTGACCCCCCGCATGACAACCACACCAAAAACAGCCTCAACAAAACACAACAACAACAAAAACGACAACTTCGAATCATACATTCATACACACCGTCCCGAGCGCCCTCACACATGCCGCCTAGCGTCGGCCGCGCCTGAGCCACCCCGGCAGGTAGTCCATCAGTCGCCGGTAGCCGGCGGCGCTGAGGTGGACCCCGTCAGCCGAGAAGAACCTGCCGTCCATCTTAAAGCGCCGTTTCCTCCCCTCCCGCCGGCAGAGGCGTCGGCCGAGCGCGACGAAAGTGGAGTCGGTCTCGCGGCACAGTTCGCACAGCGCCCGTTCGAGCCAGAAGGCCGGGGTGGACTCCCACACTCTGCCACCGTCGCGGGCCGGCCGCGGCGTCACGCCGAGGATGGTCACGGCGCAACCAAGGCTACGGGTGTCGATGATGGTCTCCTTCAGCCGCCCCAGCGTCGCCACCACCGTGACCGGGTCGAAGGCGGCCCCCCTTGGGTAAACGTCATTACCGCCCAGCCATAAGATGACTTGGAGGTCCGTCAGCTCCCCTTTCCCACAGACCCACGCCCTTACTTCGGTCGCGCTTGACCGCAGCCAGCGGCTCAGAGTCAGCCCGGGGACCGCGCACACGGACAGGCGCCGAGGGGGGTCACACCGGAAGTCCGCCCTGCTCAGCATAGAATCTCCTATTAAGAGCACGGCGGACCCCGGCGGACCAGCCTCCGGCGAACCGCCGGACCCCTCAGCGATGTCCCCCAAGCCAAAGTCCGTGTCGATCGGGTCGCCCAGAATCTCGCCCAATATGTCGGCACCGTCGACCCCGACTGAAGCCCCCGCCAGGATGGCGGCGGCCGGAGATACCGGCTCGCCCAGAATTTCGCCCAATATGTCGGCACCGTCGACCGCGACTGAAACCTCCGCCAGGATGGCGGCGGTCGGAGATACGGGTGGTCGTCCGTCGCCCTCCTCGCCGTCTCCCGGGCGTCTCCTGTCAGGAGACGGGAACGATTCTCCATCTGGCTGCGTCCCCCACATGGCTTCACCCGCGGCACCACCATCCGCGGGTGGGACCTCCACCACCACCTCCACCAGGTCCGAGTCCGACGGCGCCGGCGACGACCACAGTGCGGAGGACGGCATCTCCGTCACCACCTCAGTCAGCTCCGCGTCCTGCTGCACGATCAGCGGCAGCCCGGCGTCCGCGGAAGGCATACCACCTCCCGAGAGTCCTCTGAGGAGACCCTGAAGCTGTTCCTCCAGTCGCTCGCGCTCGGCCCTTTCCTCGGCAACAGCCGTCCAGAGGCTGTCTAGCTCCAGCCGCGTAGGGTCCATCTGAAACTTAAAAATACAATCACCTTTTGGTTCACGAGCACTTCTTAGCAGCACAAGTCAATATCTGCCCACCCACCCTACTTGATGTAACAGGGTCTTCCACTACTTTCGGTTTCGATCAGGAGGGACCAAATTTGATTTCCCGCCTGAAACCTTTGACACACATCCTGACCTAGTCACATAATAGACCGGTCACGCTCCTGTTCTGCCGCAAAACCGGATCGAGAAGACACATCGGTCGAGGTGGGTCAGCGCTGGAAGCGACTAACGGGCACCCACCTCGACTGCGGCCTCCCCTCCTCACGAGGGACACCTCAACTTTGTGACCCCGGTGTCCCGGACCTCAGCTGACCAAGACGCCCCACTGGGCAGTCCCGCCGAAAATGGTCAGGAGCACCACACCCGTAACACCCGCTAGTTTTGGACGTATCAGGGCTGAAACGAGCAACAGTGAGTGCCTCCAAGGACGACTGCAGCTGCCCAACCTCCTGTTGAAGCTGACTTACTGTGTCCTGGAGCATCGCGCGCTCAGTTTCGGCGTCACGCTAGGCTAATGCTACCGACCCACTCGATGTTCGTTCCGTATCAGTGTTTCCTCCTTTATGTTTCAATAACTTTTACCTGTCTCATACAGGGGCCGCGCATAGTCGAGTGCGACACCATCCAACAGAGGCAATAGCCGTTTACCCTATCAAAAAAGCACGACGCTGTCTCACAGGCTAACCGCCTGCGATACTACTCAGTCTCTAAATAATAATAATAAATAATCAAGGCTAACCGCCCCGAAAAATGCCTGCGGTAACCCTACCGTCCCCTCATCCACCACTGATCCGAGCAGACCGCTCGGCTCCGGCCATTAGTTAATCGGCTACAGTCTAAACACAATCATGCCAAACGATAATAACACAACAGACTCACCGTTGCCGTCGCCGGTCCTACCGACCGCGCCAAATGTTGCGGGAGCTGAACACACCGGATCCGAACGTCACTCTATTTGCAGTTTAGGGAGTACAAGCGCGTACCGCTCCACACGTCCCTCCGATCCCGTCTCCCGGGCCGCCGCCCGCCCAGCCAGGGCTAGCCGCCGACCCCGCCCCAGGGCCACGCGGCAGGGGCGGCGCCGGGCGCGGCCAGCCGGGGAGGCGCCACGGGCGGCGCCAGGCGTGCCACAACGGGCGGCCACAGCCGCCCGTAACAATCAAAGGTCAATGAACTGACCTGACTTTCAGATGACCTCGACATCCACTCTAATGTATGGGAGCAACATCAGCTCACATGTTTGAATGCTTGAAACCACGAAAAGACTGCAAACGCGCGGCTAATGCAAGCCGACATGCGCCGAAACGCGATTCCGGCCAAACATGGTCTCGAAAAGTAGGTCACAGGTCAAAGGTCATTTGGGTCAGGGTCATGAAATGTTAAGGGTAGGTGTCAAGTTGATCAACGCGAGGGTACCGGATTAGTTTCGGCGCGATCGGCCGCCTTTTACGCGAGTTACTTGCGAAAAAGCTTAGGCAGGGTTGCATCCCCCTGTGCCGGCGAGGGTTAATAAAAAAGGTCAAAACAAAATATATAAAAAGTATAGAAAGTATATAGAAATATATGAAAATGTATAAAAGAAAACGTTGCGAGTCTTAACCCTCGCCGGCACAGGCCATTTTCAGTCCTTCGACGGCACAAGGGGGGGGGGCGGGGGGGTTGGTACGACCACCCCTCACGTTTGGCCCCTGATGGAGCTAGAGTTTTGTGGAAAAAACGAGCGTGTTGCTCGTCACGAGATGAAGCCAATGATACCCACTTTTAAGGTCCTAGGTCATCGGTTGACCTTCCAGGTCAGGTCAATGACCCAAAAAAAAAAAACGGGAATATCGGGACCTGTTAGAAAGTCGTAAAGCGTGGCTGCTAAGGGGTTTTCCGGGGTGCTGATCACGAATATCGTGTTAGTTTTGAATTTTGATCACAGATGACGTCGTTAAGCGTTTATACTAGGTCGGGTCAGGTCAGGTCAGGTCAGGTCAACCGGTAGGGGTCGTGACGGGTATTCGTAGTACCTGTCATCCGCCTCTGACAGAGCCGTAACATGTTAAGAAGGCACCAAAACTACTTCGTAAATGTTCAAATGGTTGCTAAATTCGAATTCAGCTAAAAAAAACTAGCCTAGAAACATGTAAAACTCGAAAAAGTGAACCGAGGTCACCAAAGGTCAATGACCTGACCTGACCTTCAGGTGATCTTGACACCCACCCTATTGCATGGGAGCAACATCAAATCACATGTTTGAACGTTTGAAACCACGAAAAGCTTGCAAACGCGCGGCTAATGCGAGCCGACATACGCCGAATCGCGATTTCGGCCAAACATAGTCACAGAAAAGAGGTCACAGGTCAAAGGTCATTGGGGTCAGGGTCATGAAATTTTCAGGGTAGGTGTAAAATTGATCAATGCGAGGGTACTGAAAGTTTCGTTGCGATCGGCCGCTTTATATTGCGAGTTATTCGTGAAAAACCTTAGGGGGGGGTGCATCAGCCCCCTGTGCCGGCGAGGGTTACAATCCATTGCACATTTCAGAACTCGTCACTCGGGCCAGGGAGGTGTGACTGCGCTAAGGATGAACGCCTAAATTTCGTAAGAAGTCGCAGCCGTAGGGACTTGAGGCATGTTCCAGGGCGCCCTATCGCTGATCCAGACGCACTCACATATAATATAACCACTGCAGTAATTGTTTTGTGTTGAGTGCATTTTGAATAGAAATTGATTGGTGTTTACAGTGTAAACAGTTGATCACCATGTGTAAGGTAACACCCTATTTTCATCGCCGAAACACTTCCATCTTGGATATCAACTTAACCCGGCACGTTATATGTGAATACGACTCATGTACAAGGAATCACTCCGCCCGGCATTGAAAATTTTATTTGAGGCAAGAACTATTAAAGGGACACTCCCACCTTAACATTAGTTTTGAGTTGAGATAGCCAAATTGGTGGCCATGGCCTGCAAATACCGGTTTGGGCACTCACAACATCGAAAAATGCTTTAATTCGAAGATATGGAATTTCAAACTTGCAGTTTTCGGATTCTAAGGGGCTAATGCATTGGAATGCCCCCTTAGAATTTGTGACGTCAGCGGAGATCTAACGATTTTTAAATCTTAGACTAAAACCATCGTTAACACGTGGTGGTATACGCTGCTTTGCGCGCAACGTCTGCCGCACTTTAAGGCTGCCAAATTATTGCTTCCAAATAAAGTCGCTAGTAACAGGGGAGATCCCAAAAAGTAAACAAAAGTAAAAGCCTAATATCTTGAAAACCAGTGAATATTTTTCGGTGAAATTTAGTAGATATTCGTTTCCGCTCTTTCTGAACCAAGGGACCTCACTTTCATGCCAATTTATTAACTTTTTTGAAGGTGGGAGGGTCCCTTTAATCAGAGAACTATGTAACGGGCCAGTCGGACGGGGACTTTGCTTCCCCTCATGAAGCCCTCCGTACCGTCGGGATGTCTCCGTACCGTTGATGTGAGCACAGGTGCTGCGGATCATACGGCAGTCGTCCCCTCCCCGTGGCTATGACGCCAGCATAGGGGTATAAAATTGGCCACCGGCGATGGATGGTCACATTCAGCTTCTGAACCCATTTCCTCCGTGTCAACAGAGGAACTAAGGTAAGTCTGAAGCGCTGTGAGGTGTTGCAAGTCGTGGTCGAGCCGCAGAATGATCAGTCCTGGCATGACGGAGGCAACTGGCGCGTGCTTGTGTAGCAGCTACCAATAAAGCAAACAAGCGAACTATCTTATTATTGTATCATTTCATAACAAGTAGAGAGGACGTAGTGCTCAGATGATATTATTCATGTCAATTGTTGGGCTAATCTCAGGCAGCTAAGGTTAATGTGCCTTCATTTAACGTAGGCTGTAGGCTTTATTATCAATAGAAATACACCATTCTTATGAGCGATATAAAAATGCTGACTACATACTATCCCTTTATAATCTAGTATATGGTGCTCAATTACAAAACAAGATTATTCTCAATAATCAGCAGCACACATCTGAACTGCCCTGAATCATGCCACTAACAATTCTACCGAGCTACAATCCTGCAGTGACGGTGACTGGTGATATGCTGACAGGGGTGATGATGACGTTCTGTTGCAGGATGCGTTCGCTGCTGGCTCTGACATGTCTGGTGGGGTCGGTGCTGGCCGCGCCCCAGTCGTCCGGCCGGCCGTACCCGCCACCACTCGATCCCAGCTACTCGAACCCATCCGCGGCGAGTGCTTCCAACAGGGACATCCACCACTCCATCCTCGGCAGCAAAACCAGCATCCGGCGACAGACGCGCGCTCAAACCGACAGATCTACGAAGCAGGTCGCCGAGCCCATCGTCACGAGGACTGTAACGGCCCCCGAACGCGCCCCTATCGTCACGAGGATGCAGCCGATCGCCGAACAGGCCTTCACGGGAGCGCAGCAGGTTACAGAACAAAGTAAAGCTGTCACAAGGACTAAAGTTGTACCACACGATGTCGCCGAGCCCATCGTCACAAGAACGGACGCTATCGTCACGAATGTGAACCTGTTCGTCACGAGGGTAGACGCCATTGTCACGAGGGCGGACCCCATCGTCACGAGGGTGGATCCGATCGTCACGAGGGTAGACGCCATTGTCACGAGGGTGGACCCCATCGTCACGAGGGCGGACGCCATCGTCACGAAGGTGGACCCTATCGTCACGACGGTGGACCCCATCGTCACGAGGGCGGACCCTATCGTCACGAGGGCAGACCCGATCGTCACAAGGACGCAGCAGATCCCCGGACGCACCGTCATCGAAACAGAGCTGATCGCTGAACCCATTGTCACGAGGGTGCAGCCGATCGCCGGATACAGCAGCGCCATCATTCAGCAGTAGTTCCTCGGTACAGTCAGTCTCCTGGTGAGGTGACGGTCTCTGCACTCTGACGGTGCAGACTAAGACAGTTTATTGAGGACAACCGCAATGCACAGTCTCTTGGCTATTGCAGCTTTTGGCTTTAAACATTTTTCGCAGCCAAAAACCAAGAAACGCTCACAAATGAGCAGAGGTGTAACATGTTACGACGATCTAGCAGGCGTAGAGGCAGTCGTGACATGCCGCGTGGCAGAGCGGTGTACGAAGGTGGCGCTCGGCACTGAAACTGCTTCCTCTGGCTCCCAACTCGTCTTTCTATCTGGCATTCCAGTATCACCGTTTGAAATACGTGTTTTGACTTTTGAATAAAGTATTTTGAACATCGAAAGTTCGTTACGACCATGATCATGACCTTACCGAAAAGGTTATGAGAAATGTAGATGGAGTTGCATAACAGAAATCTTCTGAAAATCTCAAGGAGCTCATGAGTATGAACCTAACTTAGCTTGCCGAAAATGCAGCAGTTGATAGATTACAACTTATCATATTGCCACAATGAGGCGTTACGTATCTTTTCAGCTCCACCGTTCGACAAGAGATTCACATGTGTAAGCGCCTTTTACTGAAAAGTTTGTGATGGATACCTACTCCGATCTCCCTGGCGTTGACAAACTGATAACGTTATATAGGCTTACTGATCGATCGAGACTGACTGCAGACACAGGTGCACTTCAAATGGGACAGATCGTTTAGCGAGCCCGCTGTGCAACCGACCCGGAACGTGTGGCCCGCTCGGAAATCAAGAGGCGAGGTCAGAGGGCAACGAACTTTGTATGTCAGTATATCGAGCGATAATTACGTGATACGCGGTCAGAAAAATAACTACAAATAGGCGGCTCTGTGTGATATTGTAAAATCAAAACAGGATGACATGTATAATAATGTTATAGGGCTGGCATTACACTTCAAACATGCGAGAGGGCGACGTCACCTCTTTGCACGCGTCTCCTAAAACGCTATCTCATTCCCATTCACATCCCATTCACATGAGCCCATGTGCTCTAGATTTTATGTCGGTCTCCCGTATTCTCACGACCGGGGCTCTGTCGGTGTCGTATAAAAGCCGCAGGTGAAGTTCTAACACATTTTGATGCTTGTCAAGCTGCTCTGCGTCGTAAGATTGACACCAGGTAGGCCTGAAACTGGAAAGTCAAGCTGATCTGCACTGGATTACCTAATTTAACCCTCGCCGGCCGAGGGGGGGGGGGAGCGGGTGCCGCCCCCCCCCATAGGGTTTTTTCGCGATAGCTCCGAACACGCTGGCGATAGAGAGCTGAAACTTGGCATACCTGACCTTTGATCCAAGCCGCATCTTTTGACACCAACCGCATTTTTGGGTCAGGTCAGGTCACTGACCTATGACGTCATAAGTGAACCTCTGCACGGTCTTCAGATGTCGCAACTTCGCAACGCCCTCACTGCCAGAGGAGATGTCACAGGGAAATGAAACTTGCAGGATCTAGTATCCATTATGAGTCCCACAACTTGTATATCTCGGATTTTTCCTAAAGGTCATATGAGGTCAGGTCATTTTCGTGACCTCACCATTATAAGTCAATGGGGAAAAATGAAAACTGCTATTCTGGCGCCGGGAACGATCTCCAACTATCTCAAGCACACAGAATCGTGATTGTATGCACTCCTTGCAAGGTTAGATGCGTCACTTTTGCAATGTTGACCTTGCATGACGTCATTTATGACGTCATCAAGGTCATATTAGTTTTTCGTCAATAACTCTTGATCAAATTGAGCTAGCGAGTCGGGAAAGCCACCAATGGACTCAGGAAGACCTGCCGAATCGAATGATATGCGACATGACCTCTTTCGACCAACGTCGTGACCTGGGGGTGCTGACCTGACCTTGACCTGAGGTCAACACCCCAAGTTGACCTGACCCGGACAAAAAGTATATCATTCGACGCGCCTGAGCGAGACGAACACGATGCTGCCAAAATCAGCGCTCTGCGGCCGTTTTTTGCGAAGTTATTCACCAAAAACTGAACCGTACCTTGGGTCACTTGACCTGACCTCAGAGGTCACCGGTTGACCTAGGACCTTAAAATCGGGTACCAATCTCTGCGTCTCGTAACGGCGCACACGCTCGTTTTTTCCGCGACGCGCTAGCTCCACCAGGGGCGAAACGGCGAGGGGGGGTCGTACCCGCCCCCCCCCCCCTCGGCCGGCGCGTATGTAGAAAACCAATAGGTCCGGCGAGGGTTAAGATTGACCTCTGCAATTCTACGTTGAACGGCTTCTTTTTTAGGCTACCGCATTGCAAAGGCCAACCCACTCATTTTGGACGGCATGGAAGGGCGGCACCGGAACTTGAACTATCTCCGACATCTAAATTACCACCACCTCACATCTGGGTTAGGTGCGTAGAGGCACGCATAAATGGCTAAAAACAATAGTTTTCCTTTTCGTTTGAAAATAATAAAGAATAATTGTGGTGTTCTGTTACGGACTGGTGTCCCTCTTTCGTTCCGTACCGTACGAGTGTGCCAGTGTCACCTAGCGGCAGTTCTGTTAACTGCAGGTTGTGGGGGTGGCGCTGAGGGCGAGTGACGTGTCCGTAGGCCGGCCGGCGGGGCAGTCGGTTGGCGACGGTGGTCACGGATGGTGACGGTCTGTGCCGTGCGCGTTTTGAGTTCTTCTTTAAACCGGACTGTATATATCGCGTGGGTGGTGCAATACACTACAGTGGCGACGAGGAACTGAGATCCTTCTGCGCTAAGTGATAACAGTGATCGCCGCGATGGACTGTTTGCGTGCGCCAGCGCCATTTCTAGTGGCGCCAGGACGGCCGACCACGCCCTGGTCCCAGTGGCTGGGCGAGTTCAGGATTTTCGCCGTGGCGAGTGGTTGGGACGAGTGGACTGTGCAGCGACGAGAGGCCCTCCTATTACACTGTGTGGGACAGGAGGCGCGGCGTCTCTATTTCGCGGCGGCGAAACCGGCGCAGGGCGTGGCACCGGGAGCGCAGGAGGCGGCGATTCCGGCGCAGGAGGAAGATGGCGTCAAGGAGGAAGGACAACCGACTGCAGCAGTCGACCCGGTGGCTGCGATCTCTGCAGTGTTTCAGCGGCTGTTTCCGGAGACACGAGCGACTCATTCCGAGAGAATGCTGTTCCGGCGGTGTTACCAGCTGGACAGGTCTCCAGCGGTGTACCTCACTGAGCTGCAGGACCTGAGTTCCAGGTGCGCCTTCGGCGATCTCCAGGAGCAGCTGACCTGTGAGCAGTTCATCGAGGGCTGCAGGGACGACAGGTTGAGGGAGCGGCTGTGTCGGGAGCCAGCTCTGACTGTGTTGCGCATCCTCGAGGTGGCTGAGGAGCTGGAGGTGGCTGCTGAGCGACAGCGGCTGGTGGGTGGAGGTGGAGCTACCCGTGCATCAACCTCTTCCCCGGCTCAGCTGGAGATAGCTGCAGTGACTACTGCTCCCAGGAAGGGGGTCTCGCCGTGCTGCAGCTGTGGCGGTCCCCACCGGACTGCTGATCCCTGCTGTCCAGCTCGTTGGAGAAGGTGCCACAACTGCCAGCAGAAGGGCCACTACGCCAGATTCTGCAAGGAACCACCTAAGAAGACGAAGCAGACCAAGAGGAAGCCAGTAAGGACCGTTGAAGTGCTGGCCGTGACGGATGACGACCGGAAGAACCTGTGGACCGAGCTGCGGGTGGACCAGCAGCCACTGCGGATGCTGGCTGACACTGGCTCGGCCGTGAGCATCCTACCGTTGTCCGTCTACAGGAAGCAGTTCCGCCATCTGCCCCTCCTGCCCACTGCAGTGCGCCTGGAGGCCTACGGAGGGTCATCGCTGCTGGTGCAGGGGGTGGTGCAGGTGACAGTGGAGGCAGAGAACGGCAACAGCTCCCAAGTTTCACTGTACGTGGTAGACGCTGGCGTGCCCCTGCTGGGCAGAGATCTGCAGGAGAAGCTGAAGTTGTCCGTGATTCACGGGGCGACTGTGTGTGCTATCCAGGAGCAGATGCCAGAGGAGCTGCCGAGTCTCACTGGGTTCGTGCACAGCGTGAAACTGAAGACGGAGGTCAACCCAGTACAGCAGCGGCTGAGACCTCTACCGTACGCCGTGAGGGCGGCAGTGACTGCCCAGCTCGGAGCAGTGCGGCGGGACGAGCTGCTGGAAGCGACACAGACTGACCCAGTGCTGTGCCAGCTGGTGCAGCAGATCCCACGGCGGTGGCCGCGACGGCGCCGCGACTGCCCGGCAGAGCTGCAGCCCTTCTACAACTGCCGAGAGGAGCTCAGCTTAGTGGGAGACCTGGTCGTCCGCGGTCAGCGGGTGATCGTGCCGGCGGCGCTGCGGACGAGGATGGTGTCCCTAGCCCACGAAGGACATCAAGGGATCGTCCGAACTAAGCAGCGGGTTCGTGACATCTACTGGTGGCCCAAGATGGACACGGACATAGAAGAGGCGGTGAGAAACTGCGACGTGTGTGCTGACGTGGACAAGTCGGCTCGGACTCGCAGTGCGCCGCTACACCCTGTGCCGCTGCCAGGAGCGGCATGGGAGAAGGTGGGCGTGGATTTTATCGGCCCAATGGAAGCGCGCCGCCAGCACCGATACGCGGTAGTGCTGGTAGACTACTTTTCCAAATGGATAGAAGTCGGCTTCTGCACAGAACCCAGCACGGAGGCGGTGGTGCAGTTTCTGGAGACGCTAGCATCTCGAGAAGGTTACCCGAAGGAGCTGGTGTCCGACAACGGGACACACTTCACCTCAGCAGCGTTCGCAGACTACCTGAGGAGTGTCGGCACGCGCCACATCCGGGTCACGCCGTACCACCCTGCCGGGTCAGGTGCGGTGGAGCGTGCGAATCGCACTGTGAAAAGTGCTCTCCAGGCGGCGGACCGGAGCGGCGAAGATCGAGCGTGTTATCTGCAGAAGTTTCTGCAGACGTACAGGAGCACGCCTCACGCCACGACGGGGCTGAGTCCAGCCGAGCTTCTGCACGGACGGAAGCTGAGGACACGTCTGCACGCGGCGGCTCTTCCCACAGAAGAACCGCAAGATCGTGAGCTGCGAGACAGAGTGCAGAAGAGGCAGAAGAAGCAGAAGAGGTACGCTGACGAGCGGCGTGCAGCTGAGACACCACGGTTCCAGGTCGGCGACTGGGTCCGGTGCCGGCTGGTGCCGCGTCCCAAGAAGGGACGGCCACGGTACTCCGAGCCGAGACGGGTGGAGTCTCGCCTGGGACCAGTCAGCTACAGGCTAGATGACGGCTCCCGGATCCACGCAGAGCGGCTGACGACAGCTCGGGCGCCGCAGCAGTCTCAGGCTGAGCTGCACGTGGATCAGAGCGGCCAGCCGGGGGCTGGTCAGCGGAGTGCGGTGTCTCCGACGTCTGTGCCTCGCCGCGGGGAGCGGCTGGAGGCCGACGACTGGCGGCACGCGGAGGATGGCGTGCCACTGGAGGACGGACAGGCTGTGTCACTGGGGGTCGACCGGCGGCACACCGAGGCCAGCCGGGCTCCCGCGGAGGACGGCGTGGCTGTGTCACCGGAAGACGCAGAGGACGATCGGGAGCGGGAGGCGTCACCACCTCCGGCGACGGAGCGGCAGGCAGAGCAACAAGACGCTGGCGTACTGCTGTCGCCGCGCGAGGCAGCGAGCGGTGCCGGGCTGGTGGCGGTCGAACCTGCTCTCCAGCCGGGCGCGAGAGTGAACTCCGGGACGCAGCCGGTGAGGAGGTCCCAGCGTACGAGACGTGCGCCAAATAGACTCTAACTTTTTCCAGGGGGGAAGAATGTGGTGTTCTGTTACGGACTGGTGTCCCTCTTTCGTTCCGTACCGTACGAGTGTGCCAGTGTCACCTAGCGGCAGTTCTGTTAACTGCAGGTTGTGGGGGTGGCGCTGAGGGCGAGTGACGTGTCCGTAGGCCGGCCGGCGGGGCAGTCGGTTGGCGACGGTGGTCACGGATGGTGACGGTCTGTGCCGTGCGCGTTTTGAGTTCTTCTTTAAACCGGACTGTATATATCGCGTGGGTGGTGCAATACACTACAATAATATAAATCACATTTATTTTACAGCACGAATGAAGTTGAAGCGACACACAGTATGACAATGCATTGCATCGATGACAACCGATGACATGACTGATGAAATTACCACTGCGATTGATTTTGTCAACATAACACACGAACATTGCAGGTAGGGTCCGAATGAGGGAGGGTGAAAGAATGTCATGATCACGAACTCTTCCTAGTCATTTTCTATTTCTTGGGGATGTGGTCTCCCTCGGCGAAGTAGCCGTTCTCGTCGGCCTGCCAGGTGACGGTGTAGGTGACGCCCTCCCACTCGTAGCTGTAGCTGCCCGTCCTCACGTAGTTGCCAGACTCGGGCTCGTTGCCAGGGTAGGAGATGCCATTTTCAATGGCCTGAATGCCATTGGAAGTTTCGTACCTGTGCAGGAATAGAAAGAATTGTAAGATTTTGTACTTTTCTTGCCTCCGGATGCAGCACCTATGTGTAAAAGCAAACTTAGCGTTTCATCCGTTATAACCTTGATTTCAAACAGGGTTGACAAAAGTTTGAAGATGTTGTTGTTTAGCTGGGACATAGTTGAATGCTGATAACGATAACCGTACTTCCAGCTCTTCGTTTATTCGAGAAGCTTTCGGAAGCTATACTGCTTCCTTCGTCAGCTCGTTAAAAACTAAAAAACAGTGAGGCACATATGCATACACTATCGAGTTTTAGTTTTTAACGAGCTGACGAAGGAAGCAGTATAGCTTCCGAAAGCTTCTCGAATAAACGAAGAGCTGGAAGTACGGTTATCGTTATCAGCAAGGGTTGACAAAAGTTTTTAAATAAAGTGCATCATAATAGGCAGACATGAGCAGACTATAACTCAAAGTTTTACATGGCGAAATCAGGGACCGCGGATTCAAATTCTCGTAGGGTGTGCAAGATGTAGCGATTGGGCCCCCCATCTCACGCCGGGCCCCTTCCAAAAAGTCAGCGCCGCCACTGCTCTGGAATAAGCCGGTTCTAAGGAAGCGGGGCGGGAAAACCTTCAAAATTGACGGTCGTAATATGACTGAGCGAGCATCTTACGGCCAGGAGATGCATGAGCAGAGTAAATGCACATGCATACATGCAACGTGATCCAAATCGATCTCCGATTTTCCCAAGCAGGCCCCTAAAGGCTTACAGTGACCTTCAAGGGCCCCTACGGGCCTCAGAGAGCCCTTTTGCACAGTTGATGTTGGCACACTTCTTTTTATCATGGATTACATGAATTAGTTTAAAAATAAAACACGGCCGGCGGGATGTTTGGGCCCATCGATTTGGCCCCTATGACCTATGGGGGTCTGGCCTCCGGCCCCCTTAGCTTCCCCATTGCTCTACGGCCCACACGCTGGCTTTGGGGCCCCATAAAGGCCTCACGCCAGCTCCTGAGACCCAACGCCGGCAATTCTAAGGGTCACGGGCGCACCGCACACGGTCTTTGAAGGTCCCATAACGGCCTCTGGAATACCTCATGTACATAGAAATATGGATGCCCACGCCGTTTCTTGGGCCCCCACACCGGGCTCTTTGACACCGTTCGCCGGCTCCATGGGGTACCAACTACCATACCAAGCTAGCTCGCCTGGAGGTCCTCCACCTTCTCTTGGCGCCCGAGTAGCCTCGATGCCTGAATAGGGCCCCGAGACATCGACCTTGGCCAAAAAGCGTTCGTGTAGGCCCTCAGAAACTGGTGTGAGCCCAGAGATGTGGGCTACTCAGGCACTTCTGTCGGGTCATCATTCATCGATTTGGGTCCGAGCTAGTGAGGGTTATCAGAAGCATCCTTTAGCCCTGCGACTTCAGAGGTTGGTGTGAGATCCTAAAAAAGAAAGTGAGGGCACTCCGAGGCTTGCAAAGGGCTTTTCCTCGGAGGTCGGCCTTGGCCGAACGGCGTTCCTCAAACTGGTGTAGGGCGCTGAGATTACTGAATGGGACTCTCGAGTATTGGCATGGGGCCCTCAACTATCAGCACGGAGTCCTCAGGAGCCGGTAAGGGTTCCTCTGCGGCATGCATAAGCCATCCGATCTCAGAGGCCGGTGTGAGATCCCAAACAAGAGCTGAGTGCACTTAACCCGCGCACCGACGGTGGGGGCGGATATCCGCCCCCCCCCCCCCTGAGGTTTTTCGCGGATAGCGGGAAAACCGCGGCGCGTAGCGCCGCGAAATTTGGTATGACTATTCTCTCATCAATTTTACACATGGTGTGCAAGTTTGAACCTCCTAACTTTTAAGGTCAGGTCACCAGGTCACTTTGAATGACCCAACCTCAAGTCACTTTTTTGCAACTTTGTCACCGTGCCAAAGCTACAGTAGATGTCGGAGGCCTTTGAAAGTCGCAGGATGTTATTAGGTCATTAGTAGCTACAATTTGTTTATCTCGGAATTTTGATGTCGGTGACCTAAGGTCAGGTCAATTTCGCGACCTCCCCATTATAAGTCAATGGGGGAAAAATCAACTCCCTGTTTTTACCACTAAAACGGGTCGGAATGGCCCCATATACCATACATGACTTCCCATACGATCAACCTTCACTACCTTGAGGTCTGTTTTGCTGTTGGGCAGCTGTAAGGTCATGTAACGTCATCAGAGGTCACCAAAGGTTTTTTGCCAATAACTCCTTACAGGAACAAGATACAGCCGCGCGGATGGTCTCATTGTGTTCAGCTCCTCAAGACGCATCGAATGATATACATGATGACCTCGAGGTTACGTGACCTGAGGTCAACCTTTGACCTTGAGCTTTCGAGGTCAACATATATATCATTCGATGCGGCTTGACGAGAGGATCACGATGATGCCCTTAGTTTGTTCCTATCTTGACTACTTCGAAAGTTATTCGAGAAAAACCCTCTCCATATCTAGCGCCGCCATTTTGACTTTTTCGACCCCTGTGACGTCATCTTTGACCTGACCTGAAAATGACCTTAGTAAAAATTGTAGACCTTGTCCGTGCGTATCCGATGCCGTTTACCGCTTGTCGCTATCTTGCTTCGTTCTCGAGATCTCAGGGGGGGGGCGGTCATCCGCCCCCCCCCCGTCGGTACTAAGTTGGCGCAGACCCCCGTCGGTGCGCGGGTTAAAAACCTGCGTAGGGCCCTCAGAGATCAGCTTTGACCAGACGACGGTCGTGGACGCCCTTAGAAACTGACGTAGGGGCCGCCTCAGTCGGTCGGCCCTCTCACATCAGCCTGGGGATCTCAGGAATCGGCCTGGGGCCCTCAAGAGCCGGTTAGGGCCCTCGGAAAGTGGCATTATACCCTGAGATAGCTGTGTAAGGCCCTCAGGTAACGGCTTGGGGCCCTCGGGCATCGGCCTGCGCCCTCGGGCATTGGCCAGAGGTCCTTGGATATCGGTCTGGGGCCCCTCAAGAGCCGGTTAGGGCCCTCAGAAACTGGCGTGGATCCCTGAGCTAGCCATGTAGGTAGGTACTCAGACACCGGCGTGGGACCTTTAGACATCGACTTGGGGCCCTCGGGCATCGGCCTGGGCCCTCAAGAGCCGGTGGGAGCGCTAAAAAATGGCGTGGGTGGGGCTCTGAGATAACCCCTGAGATAACACTAGAACCTGTTCAGTGTTCACGCCTTCAGGCACCGGTGCGGGACCATCAGGCTCGCGCTGGGTCCCTCGAGAATCGGCTTGGGACACTCAAGCGCCAGGGCCGCATGGGCCCCCACAACGAACTGTGGGTGTGCAAAAATAGGTGTTTGCACACCCTCAGGATTTTCAGGGTGTGCAATTGCACACCCTGCCCCCCGGAATCCGCGGTCCCTGGGCGAAATGATATTGTTCTTAGGTTTTACGCATCTAATAAGTAATATAATATATTAATAATATGAAAATAAGTCTAATATTCATCCAGCGTGAGGAGTAAGCATCCTCCCAGAGATGTAAGAAGGGTGTGTGCTTACGCCGCATCGTAGGAGCCATCCTCGTTGATCTGGAACTCCTGGTTCAGAATCTGAGCCTCTTTGTCCGACTGGGCACAGGCCACAGCCGCCAGACAGAGAACGATGAGCTGAGGCGGGTCAAGATGAATAGAAAGTCAGCACCGGCTGGTCAGGATTCAGGGAGCAGGCATTTGAGACAGATTACGACAGACCGCATGTCCCGACAGTGGATCTGTAATAAAGATATTTGTGACAAACTTAGTGGTGCGATTTTTGAGCATACAAAACGCTATTCAGATGATAATAAACTACGGTAGGAAATTAAATATTCCAGATAATACATAAAACACCGCACCTGAATATGAGCTAACGACTGGAAACTTCTTTCAAAGTTGCTGTAAAACGAACTGATTTTAGTACCTTCTCTAGACATGATAGGTAACATTTTGCAAACAGCCGAGCTGGAATAAGTAATGCTTGATTTCCATTAAAATGCATTTTAGAATAAGTGGCAGGGTTATCAAATTTTCGCTCTTCTTGCTTCACCGCGTCGGATTCTACACTTACCAGCTTCATGGTGAGTGAGGATGATTTTACACGTAGATGCTATCTCAGCGAACACCAAGAGACTGATGCCGTAGAGATACGGCCGAGGTCTTATATACTCAGCTCTTGCTCATCTTCCGCCGGGGGCGACTCATCCTGGTCCGTCGGCCTTGGGGTGTCCGGAGGACCCCTCGCTCCTCCCCTCTCCCTCCTCCGTCCCTCTCTCTCTCCCGGGTCATGACAGGCGAGGGACGGCCATGAGGTGTGGCCCGGCCGGCCCGGTCCGTCCGCTCGTATCGCGTGTCCGTGCCTCAGCCACTCTCGGTAATGGCCTGTATCACGGAGTGGATATAAAGGACAGAAGATGGAGCATGTTTGCGAGTGAGCTGACGGCCCTCTTGCTGTAAATTCATCCTATAATTCCACTAGGGCTGATACATAAGTTTTATTGATCCCCGTGGCCCGTACATACCTACTTGTGTTCATTCTCTCTATTATTATTATTGCGGTTCGCATATGTACACGTTTTGAATGACCAGCATAATAACATAGTCGTCGGCGTGCCCAGCTTCTCATTACTTTCTACAACAATAAAAAACATGATACTGAATAACCAAACTGAAGTTGAGGTGCAACAGTTTTCCTAGCCTTTTATATATCCATCTTGGAGTTAAGGATGCAGGGAGGATTGATTTAATTGATTGTTACTTGGGACACTCTGGACATCGGCAAGCGTATGTTCTCTAGTTGTTATGTACTTGTGACGAGGTTTTACACATGCAGATATTGGCATGTCATTTAACCCGCGCCCTGGTGGGGGGGGGGGCTATTTTTCCCCCTCCTCAAGACTTTTCGATAGGTATATCTCCAGAACCGCGCTGCGCCGATCGTCATACGTCACCAAACATTCAGTACCCTCCCGAGTCCCGGGCATCAATTTTGCACATTGTGACCAACAAGTTTTCCAACGGCTATGGTAGGTTAGCCGCAAATGACGTCAGAGTGACGTCATGTTCTGCCGTTTTCGACAAAAAAAAAAAGGTTTCGCGGGAAGAACTGTCAGGCCTATAGCTTTGAAGATATAGAAAAACGCTTAAGACATTAGACATAAAAGGTGTAGATTTACCAGGGCTACAAAATAGCCATCTTGGAATTTTATTTTTTGTTAATATAATTGCCGAAAAATCCAACACCTTTTTCAAAATTTCGAAAAACACGGAATATATGTGATAGCCCTTACCAACGTCTATTCACAAATCAAATTTCAGATCGATACCTCTTTTTTGGCCAAGTTATAGCAATGTTTTTTTTTTCAAAATTGATGACGTAGAATTTTCAAACTTATTTTTTTAGCCATTCTAGACAACGTAGCGCAAAACAAAGACCACCATTAGACTCGCCGTGACAAGCTGCATCAAATCAAAACCTTTTTATGCAAAACTATCAACTTTGAAATTTGACCTTTTTTAACCTGACATTGACCTGACCTCCACCAGAAAGTGACCTAAACCGTTCCTGATGGTGTCTTATAACCAACACCATTGAGTTTGAAATGAAAAATTGGCCGTACCTATTACATGCATCTCACGGCCCTAGTAAAATTGGGTTCATGACCCTTGCTGACCTGACCTGTGACTTGACCTGGTACTATCAGTGACCTCTAATGGCAACATATGTACTAGGTAACTGACGCCCTATCGCTGATTTTCGATAAAATGCGTTTTACTCGTTATTATAGCTCATTTCCTGGAAGACCCGTGACCGGCAAAACATTTTATCTTTGACCTGACCTGTGACGTCATCAGTGACCCCGAGGTCAATGAAATTTGATTTTCCATCACAAAATTGACAGGTCTTTTGAACGCCGTTTGAATTTTGCGGATCCGTCCAGTAGTTTCGGAGACACGAGGGGGCAATAAAAATAGCCCCCCCCCCCACCCACCAGGTCGCATTATAAACAGACCCCACCGCGCTGGTTAATACGCTATGCTATGGTCGAGTCTTACTGCAGAATATATTCACGACCTGAATGTGTGCAGAACCCTGAGGCCGTGAGCATAGCTGCATGCATCATAAACTATTTTATTTCCCTTTCACTCCAAAAAGTACATACCTATGCAATAATATATGTTTTGCATGTCTCTTTGTCAAATATTTCTCAGAAAGTCGTAGATTATCACGAATGAACAGAATAATAGGGCCGATGGCTTTTAACTAAGCTCTTTTGCAGCTGTGCCCACAAAACTGAACTAAAGCTTAACAGTTTGAGGTCATAGAAGCAGATGATGAACACAGAAATACAGCCTTTTTAGTCCTATCATAACTTTTACACAAGGCTTGTTCTAAAATAATTTTATCAGCATCTGTTTCCCCCGTCGCCGCAGATTTTTTTACGATATCGTTTTTTTTTTTTTGCCAGCGCCCAGCATCGTGCTTGTTTTGTCTACAGAAAAAAACAGAACTATGTTCAGTGGCTTAGACAAACTATTAAACATAATTTTTATCTTTGCTCATGGGAAATCTCACGAACAGACAACAGTTTCGTTACATTTTACCAAGCCTGGGACCACTTGCCTCCACCTTTCTGCGCCGACTGCCAACCTTCACCTCAGCAGCCTTGGACTGGACAGGTGTTGGAATTCATCGTGTGTCATGTATGTACAGAACATGGGATCATGAAGAAACGCGAGTTATTGGCGCTAAAATGCACATTCCACACGCGACCGTCCAGCTGCCGTTCCAGCAGTACGTACCCGAGTGTCACAAGTAGACACGTTTGGGAATGACAGAGGAGCAGAGTACATACAATACCCGTGGACAGCCCGCCATTGTATACTGGAACGGTCATCACGGAGAGAGGGAGGACCAGAGTATGGGAGGACCACCAGTTCACACAAGGGTAGTGTGATTGAAGTTGAGTTAGTCCCGATAAAAACTTAAAGACGATAGATTATGCCGATTCGAGCGATTGTCTTTGAACCCCACCATATGGATTTCTTTCATATCATTAGAATGCCTACCTAAGTTTCGCGGAACATGGTAAAATAACTTTCTAAAATAATGCTCAATTGTATCTTCACGGCTACTCCCGCTATGCGCAGGGTTTGGTGTTTGTTTAATTTTTCAAATTAACCAACATAAACAAACTGTTTACGAACAAACGTGTTCGCGAACAAGTGACGTCATCGGTCAAATTTTGGTAAACAAACAACGAACAGTTCGCGAACGTTCATGAACTGTTCGTGAACACGGTAAAAAGGTGTAGATAAGACCCCCTCCTTCAAGTCTAATGGTGGTCTTTGTTTTGCCTGACCTGACCTTGACCCCCTCAGGTCAAGGTCAGGTCAAAGGCACTCGGGTCACAAAGCTGCATGGAGGATGTCATGCTGCATATCATTCGATGTGGCAGTTCTTTCTGAGTCAGGTTGATGGCTCAACCGACTCGCTGGCTCAATTTGATCGGAAGTTTTTGGCGGAAAGATCCAACTGCACCAACCAACCTTGTGGCGTCTTATATGACGTCATGCAAGTTCTTAAATTCACAAATGGCACAACTTAAGCCTCAGCGTTGCAAGATTAACTATATGAATCACGAATCCATGTGCTTGATATATGACTGGTGCATATTTCACTTGTAAAACATGCCTGCAGTCATGCCTGCACCGTATGATAACAATTGCTCGAAAGATATCAGAAATGATGACTTGTTCATGAACGTTCATGAACGTTCACGAACTGTTCGTGAACAGAGAATCGTTGGTGAACATTTGACCTTGAATGCCAAAATTCGTAAACTATCAAATAAACAAACAAACAAACACTGTTCACGAACTGTTCGTGAACAAATATACAAACACCAAACCCTGTGCAATTGTATGAACTTCAGAGGAGACCGCGTTTGTTGCCAAAGTCGTCCCCCCCCCCCACCCCACTACCCAATGACAATGAGTTTAGAAATTCCAGTTTATGGAGCTGTAACTGTTTGACCTCCCAGGTCCCATTTCCCCCTGGTGACCTCCCATAGACTGTGCCTGTCACTTTCGGCAGGCTCAGTGTCCCCCAGGCTTCGAATGTAATAAATTCCACCATGCATCGTCTGCAACCAGCTCCGACACCGAGCCACTCGACATCCGCGGCTCTCGGCCGAGTCGCCGAGCAGCACTCTTTGACGGCGCCCCGGCGGCATATGCAGCGCGACGGCGGCGTATGCAGCGCACGGCCGCAGGGCGCCGGTGTCGTGTCGTACACGAGTGTCGTTCTGTGTCGTACCGGTCCCGTCAAGGTGAGGCGGTGCCGGTCGTTTTCGGGGCGCCTGTATGCTGTCCACACTCCACACTCCATGACGTGCTGTGGAGGTGGTTATCACATTGATGACCTGGTGACCTGTCGCCATATTCTGCACGGTGAAATGGACGCCGGGAGCTGTTAAGTAGCAGACGCGACAGCGATTAGTGATTAAAGGGACCCTCCCACCTTAACATTAGATTTGAGTTGAGATAGCCAAAATGGGGTCCCTGGCTCACAATTACCGGTTTCGGCACTCACAACATCGAGAAATGCCTTAAATCGGAAATATTGAATTTCAAAATTGCAGCATTTTGATTCAGAGGGGCTAATGCATAGGAATACCCCTCTGAATGTGTGACGTCAGCGCAGATATCTAACGATTTTTAAATGTTTGACTAAAACGTTTTGTAGCACGTGGTGGTATATGCTGCTTTGCGCGCAACAAATGCCGCACTTTCGAATAAAGTCGCTATAGGAACAGCGGATATCCCAAAAAGTAAACAAAAGTAAAAGTCTAATATCTTGAAAACCGGTGAATATTTTTCGATGAAATTTGGTAGATATTCGTTTTTGCTCTTTCTGAACCGAGCGACATCACTTTCATGCCAATTCATTAACTTTTTTGAAGGTGGGAGGGTCCCTTTAAAGTGGCGGGACTACTTTGTCGAACTATCTAAATGTTGTCATAGAAGTATTGCAGTAAATCTCATGTCATTTGGTCAGACGAGCTGAACAAACGGTCAGCTCAAGACCGACAAGATAAAGACGGACAAAACAGCTGAATGTTTTTTTCGCTTGCTTGTC